TCAAACATCTACCATTAAATTATTATTATAAGACTTTTTTTCCCAATAACAGATGGCGTCATGAACAGGGTCCCCTCAACTGATTTTCCTGGGAGCAGTTATGACGGTGTCTGATTTATTACCGTAAATTTCGGACTATAAGCCGCAGAAGCTAAATTGTATGATTATATATAATTGTAAGCCGCAGGTTTTTCATGTTTAATGTCCGTCTTTCTCGCGGTAGAAGTCTGCTTCCGGAGGACCTCCGCATTCCCCCGCGCGCGGCTACCTGGATGGTAAAAGCCATAGATTTAGGTATTACGCTAGTGGCCGTTAGCTGTAAAAGTCCATAGATAAGCCGCATTGTTATATAAGCTGCAAGGTCGAAAAATGGGGAAAAAGTCGCGGCTTATAATCCGGAAATTACGGTACTCATAACTAACAGAGCTTTGAGGGATTGAGAACTTCTGACTGACTGTTTCCAGCGGTTCAGCTGGAGCTGCCAAACTAATTTAATTTATTTTGCAGAGTGAGAAATCTACCGTCAGCAGGCCTCAAACATTTTTAGTGCAACAAAGGACCACAGGTTGGATTCAAACCCGAGGCGGCCGCATCGAGGACTATGGCGTCCGTATATGGGTCGCGTGCGCTAACCACTGCGCCACCAAAACACGCCCACTAAAACCTTTTTAAGTTATACTCTGCTAAAACCGACTAAAACTATCACATATCATAAATATTATTAATAGTTTTGGTCTTCAGGACAAAAACGAAGACTAAATCTAACCCTGCATCGGTTTGTCTTCTGTATTATATTAATCTGCTTCAGCTTTTAGTTTTTATTGTTTTCTGTGCAGCTTCTTCATATCAGAGGAAACAATAAAGCAGATAAAGTTAGAATATTTCTGAGCGGATCAACAACCAGGATAAAATCTATTTTATAGGATTGTGAGTTTCAGAGAAAAGGTCTTTTATTTATTAAATACTTTGAAGCAGGAAATCGTCAAAACTTTAAAACTCTTCCAATATGTCAACATTTTCTATCTGACCCTTTATCATTTTTGTATTTTAGTTTCTTAAAGCATCACAGTGTAACTCTGTGTCGCCACTAGGGGAGCTAGACCTGTAACTTCCAGGTCTAGCTCCCCTAAAGGCCACCGGCAGCACTACGCTGTTACTGTCTGAGCGTTCATCCTGACCCCTGACCTCTGACCCCTCGATCACTTTATAGTAAGCTCAGTGAACCGACCGCTCAGACAAATGGTCACTACTTTCCGCTCCCCTTTGGTCACGTGACTCCGCCTCCTTGTTGTCTCCACCATCTTTGTTCTCTTTTGCTCCTAAAACAAATCCCATGATGCTTTGCGAGGAGAGCTCTTGAAAAGCATTATGGGATATATCTGCTGCNTGACCCAGTTCTGGAAACTGGTTCTGAACCCGGTTCTTGACCCGGTTCTGAATTTGGTTCTTGACCCAGTTCTGGACCTGGTTCTGAACCCTGGACCCAGTTCTGGACCTGGTTCTGAACCCGGTTCTTGACCCAGTTCTGAACCTGGTTCTTGACCCGGTTCTTGACCCAGTTCTGGACCTGGTTCTTGACCCGGTTCTTGACCCAGTTCTGGACCTGGTTCTAAACCCTGGACCCGGTTCTTGACTCGGTTCTGGACCCGGTTCTGAATTGGGTTCTGGAAACTGGTTCTGAACGGGTTTCTTTCTTCCTCCAGTCAGGAGAAGCTCCCCAGCGTCCAGATCAGCGTGGAGGACGAGGACGAACAGAGGTTTGTGGACGCTGAGACGGCGTTATGATCCTTCATCAGACGTCTGGAGGACAATGTGGGCGGAGCCTGGATGAGGACCAATCAGCTTCCGGCTCGTTGTTCTCTGAACAGAAGCTCTTTTATTTCCTCATCGTTTTATGGTGAAACATGGAGACTCCTCAGGTTACTTTGGTTTTTACTTACATGGTCCGCCGCTGCGCTCTGATTGGCCGAACGCTGTACTCAGACTCAGACTCTGTTTGATTTCGATGCGCTCAGCTCCCGCCTCCCACAGACTGTTTATTTAATCCAACGTGCTGATTGGTGTTAGTGTGAGAGAGAGGGTGTGTGTTTGTTCACCGTGATGCCTGCAGGTCAAACCTCAGCACATGTTTTCTAGTTTCTTTGTAAATTTTTAATAAATCAGTTTTGAAGCAAAAATCAGAGTCACTGGTTTTACTGGGAGCCTTTCAAACATCTACCATTAAATTATTATTATAAGACTTTTTTTCCCAATAACAGATGGCGTCATGAACAGGGTCCCCTC